AGCAAAAGGAATGTTAAAAATATGGGGAAATACGCCACAGAACCCAAAAATCTATGAGGAGTTTCAACAAGAATCAACGCATGAAACTTTCTAGAGGCTCAGGGAGAACAGTATCTGTTGCCAAAATGAAGAATTTCAGCTGTACAAGTGAAGTTTGTTAATTCTTACCTCCTCCCATGATTGAATGTCAAGAAATGATTCCAGAGAAGTCTAAGCGTTTACTGAGAGGGATGAAGATTTAGGTAAAGACCCCAAAAACATTTATGTAAATGAAGCAGATGCCTCACGATAAGGCAACAAAGGATGAAAAGAACAGATTCTTCTATCGGCACGACAAATTCTTCCAAGCACTCTGATTTGTCAGCCTTTCAGAGGCAGAGACATTGAGAAAGGGAATCATTTCACTTCAAACCAGTGCATATGCTCTAGTGCAGTTGCCTTGGCTGCTGTCATTCTGAAAATAGAAAGACAAGAACCTCCAAAGGAGATAGATACATCCCAATCAGCTGTGACCCTCTAGAGTCACCAGAGAGCTTGGTTACTTTACATCAGAAAGCCAACATTAAAGGACCAAAAACTGGCAAGATGAAACCCTTTCCATCTTGATATTGTATCCCACCCAGCACAGGATGTTTCCCAGAATATGTCAGTCCCTCAAAAGGTACCCTTGTAGCAGTCTGTCAAAGCACACTGCTACATCACTGCGACTGGACTCAATTGCTTGTTAACATATTTCATTTCAATTTGAGTCACTGCAGACAACTGCTCAGAAATTCTGAAAGGCTGGCTGTATCACTGATCCACATCAGACAGCGTGAAAAATGTGGCCCACACTTCTGTAGAATAAAGGAAGCAGTGTATCATAGCTCTGTGTGGTTACATCCAAAAAACACTTTGATTTTAGCTAAGTTAATAATACAGCCAAGCTTTCCTCCCAATACTTTGTTCTTAAGGACACCTGATTTTCAGAGATCTCAATCAGATGAACTACAAAGACTAGATGGAAAATAAATTAAAAATATAAAAAGCTTCTGCCTGGACAGAGAAAATTATGTAGTCATATGAAAAGCTTCTGGTATCTTAAAAAGGAGTGAGGTCTTTGACTGAACTACTTCTGAAAAGTTAGATCTATTTTTAAAAACAGCATCCAAATTGCTTGGAAGATGACAATTGTTCCAGGTAGCATTCCTAGGGTCAGGAATGGAAGGTTTCTTACACAAGGAAGTTTGACTCCTTGCGAAATATTCATGTCATCTGTGCCTTTTTAAGCTGATGAGTTTCTAGTACAAACCTGGACTCAGCTACAAGACTTCTCAACTCAAGAGGTACAGAGCCATGTGTTTCATCAAGAACTGCAGGAAAACAATATCCTTTCATCTCCTTAACATACTTTTCATTCTTCCACCCCCATCCCCCCCAAAACAAACAAGGATTCACACCCAAAGATGCCAAAAGCAAAGTTGCAAGGTGAAGCACTCAAAGTCTCTAGAAAAAAAAAAATGGCCTGTCTAACTTCTGCTGTATTTATTTTGTGAGGAACTAGAGAAAGGAAAGATTTTACTATAGGCTGCTGTAATTCTTCAAGCATATGTGGATTCAACCATTTGCTGAACATTGGGCCCTGGTAAAACAGCAGCTGAAAGTGCTGACGTTCTGTTGTTCTCTTCCATGCTCTCTTTTGAATGTGCCTCAGAAAATGTCAGAAACTGACAGTAATACTGTTGACCAATTCATTCACTTCACAGTCCTCGATCATGTGCAATTGAGCATTGCTTAAAACAGGATTTCAGTCTAACTGTCCAAAGACAAAGGAAGCCCAACCCATTACCTTCCAGACAGAAAACTTTCTGTTAAAACATTAATTTGCAATAAAAACATAGAAAAAGTAATTACCTTACCAAAATGTATCACTATTGTAATATAAAGAGGTAATTTGTTCTGGTTTTCTTCAGAACCAAGGCTCAGCCAAAGAGTTCTCCTCATCCTCCAGACCACCAGGTGCTTAAGCCAAGCCTGTCAGCCTACTGTGGGGTTTTACATTCTTCCCTCTCAGCCCCGACACACGGCATTTGGAGTCAATTTTGATACAAACCATACAGAGTTCATGTACTGAGGTAACATCCAGTGCTGTCATTTTTCCATGCAACTAAATGTCAGCAAGAAATAGAATCTAAAATTGGTCTGTAACTATGGCAACTAATGAGCCATTCCAACATGGAGTCCCCACATCAAACATGTGACCATCAAGGGATTCATTCCAGTTTTAAGATACTGCTTTTCAAAGAAAATATGCAGCTTCTCTTGCTGACATGTGTATTAGAGGTGGCAGCCTACAATCAGGCTAGAGCAGGTTTAGACAAACAGCTAAGACAAAAACAGCTTCTTAAACTGGAAGGAAAAACAGCCAAGATGTTCTACTGATGCTAATCACACCAGATATAGATATTTCCTTCCAAAAAGAACAAAAAGCCAGAGATGACAACAGCATTTGAAATCATAGCACTGGGGAATAAAGCATAGCTCAGTGACAAAAAGTGTGGTGTGACAACTCAAAAGTCAGAAACATCTGCACATGCATGTGAGAATAAATGTGAGGCTGGTTCTGTAGTTCTGGTAAGGCTATTTCCTTTTCCATGACCTAATCTTCCTTCTTGTTTTGGGGAACTCTTAAACAGTTATGCTTCCAGCTAGAAAGTTCCCATCTCTTTCCCAGGAAACCATGTTGATCCCTCTCCATACTTTCTCCTGGAAACCACCAGGTGACCCATTCTAGGGCCACAGAAAAGAAGTCCCTCCAGAAGTAGCTGGGGTCTCTAGCAGAAGGACAGCTCTGCACACAAGGTATTTCATGCACGGGTTCCTTCAAAGCCAGAATAACTAGATGGCAAGAGCTTATATTTCTCCCATCTTGTATATACGTTGCACTACTACTTTCTGAACAGGTAAATCCTTCTTTCATTTGCCATTGAAGTTCCAGATCTTGCTGCCAGCATGCAGATGGGGTAGGAACAAGTGGCAAGGATCCCCAGAATAAATGGAGTATGGAGGTTTCCCTATGGTGCTAGAAATCATTCATCTCTTTTGCTGCTCCAAACAAGGAAGAACTTAACCACATTAAAAAAAAAAAAACAAGAGTTCATATCTTTTTCATATTTTTTTTTTTTTTCAGAAGAGAGAAGGTAAAATAATCAAGGAAAGAAAGCAGTTACTAGTTTTCCAGCAGAAATTGAAAAGTACATAGTTATTGTTACCCAATAAATTTGAAGCTAAAATGAAATTAAGATTTGAAACAAAGGGTCAGGATTGCCATGTATACATGGGAAGGTTTCTTTAAAAACAAGTGTATGTTCTAGATAGAAATGCAGTACAGCCCAGGATGTTAGGTGTTAGTCAGTTTTTGAACAAGAAACTGGATACTCTTAATTTTCTTGGAAGATTCTAAATCTAACAAAGCAAAATGAAGAATACCATGAACTAAATTATTTTGCCAACAATTGTAAACATTACCTGATCCTTTTTTTTAATATTAGCTTCCTGGAAGCTAGAAAAAAATAGTAGAAACTACAGCTTTTAACTCAGGAAACCATAAATGTCATTGTCTTGTAAAAAAGACAAATTCAAAATAGTAAAAAAAAAAATTAAAAAAATAAAATAAAATAACCTACAGATTTATGGTCCTTAAAAGTTAAGGCAATTAAATTTTTCATCTTGATTATGAAGGAACAATTCTCTTTCAGATAGGTCAGTAAGAATACCTGTTGTTACATGACTGGAATACAGTAACATGTCTATTATGAAAAAGCACTGCAAGAAAGACACATTAGCAAAGGAAAATGAACAACTTCCTCGTGTGTAAACCTGCATGAATCTCAGTGAAGCTGATTGAAAAAGAGAATACTATATTTACACCAATTATATTGTTCCCCAAAGATGCAGTGCTCTGTGATACACGAATAGAAAGAAACGAGGTCACTCACAAAAAGCAGAATGATTTTGCTGTACAGAACAAAGGCCATCTCTGGTGCTGTGTAGCTGTCACTATAGTGCACTGCGCTTCTGCTAAGGCAGCAGAGTACTTCTTTGCATGGCACTTTTGTATGATGAAGATGCAATGATGGCACAATGTCACACCAGGACTGCCATTAGAACACTCCACAGAAGCTGCTCAGGTGACTTACTGGAGAAAGGAGACCTATACTAAGATTTATGCTTTATCCGAGTCCTCACTTCCACACAAATACTTCTAACAAAGAAGAATTACAAATTCCTGTTACTAACAGAACCTAATGAGGCCAAATCCAATTTAATTCCTTCCCTTTAAGGGGAAGTGATCAATTGGTTCAAACACAGTGTTTTCTATTCGCATGGAGAATATAGCTACAGAAGTTGTAACTCAGAAAAAAATAGAGAGATTAACAAAAGAAAAGCAAGGAAGAAAGGGAGGATTGGACCCAGCTCTCAGCCAATGTTCCTGATACATCAAGTCACAAATCACCACTGCCAACCAAGGACTCGCAAAAAACATCCAGCACAGTGTTCTAAGAGCATCAGGAAACGCTGTCATTAAGTGCTAGTAACAAAAATCTATGATATGGAGGGTTAGAGATGGGAAGGTAAAGCTCTGAACATCTCACACTTTTCCAATTTATTTTTACCTATTTAATTAATTGTTATCAGAGCAGTAATGGAAACGAACAGCCTATAGAGGGAAAAAAAAAAGCTGTAAACCCATTCCACCTACTAGGCATCGTTGTGTGTACAGCAGCTTGCTGGTTTAAAAACAAATGGAAAAATAAAACTTGCAGCGGCCCATGCGTAAAGTAAGCAGCACCCTGCTGCGTGTGAGAGCAAGAAATAACTGTCAGCAGCAAAACAGCTGCCGAAAGAAAACACCTGAAGGGCAGCTAAAGGCACAGGAGGATGGCTGTGTCACATCCAGCACAGCAGTGGGCACCACAACAGGCAGCTGCAAGCAGCTCTCACCAGCAAACACTTCTCACCGTTTCTTTTCCTGCCTTCGTCTTTTGTCACTTTCTGCGGTGCCACGACTTTCTGCGGGGAGCTCCGGCTGGAGCTGGGCTTTCCCGACTCGTTGCTGATGATGGAGCCATTCTGGCTCGGGGACCGACTGCAAGTAACCATAGCAACAAGAGAGGCTGTAAGTTTTTCCACAAACCTCGTTTCAAGGTTATTTCATCTACACAGTTTGCACCGCTGAGTTTTCAGGTCTGATTTTGTACCAAAATGGTGTTGAATATAAATAGCATGCACAAACACAGGAAAAACAGAACAGACTGATGGCAGGAGAGCACTGCTCCTCAATTAGTTCAGGGCTGATAGGCATCTTAAGCCACACCAAAAGCAGGCACCTCTCATGCACAACCCTCACAATGACAGAAGCGGCATTGCAGAGGACAGAAATCCTTGTCATTAATTCTGTGTCATTATACAGCTAAAACGAACAAGACTCTTGCTGTTATAAATGCAGCTAAAATAATTTCTTCATTACTTCGCTTGCATCAGCACACAACTATTTTCTCAGCCACAATGCAAAATCCGCTAATTCCGTTATCTCCTTTTTACCTCTTTGCACTGAGCACAGTTTAACCAGCTCCATTATCTGCTGAAACTCCTAAGAAAATGTTCTTTTGTTTGCAGGCATTGCATCTCCTTGCACTAAAACTGCCCCAGACAGGCTGAGGAGGGAGGGCACAGCAGCCCCCATCAGTGCTGGCTCTCAGCAAAGAGCAACCCTGAGAACACGCTGTGTACCTCTGCTCTGGGTGCTCGGGATCAAGCTCTCAGCTGAAGTACTCCTCTTTTGGGGTGGGCAGATGACTCAGTCTTAATGTACAACTCAAGAAACACAGGCCAAGGTAGAAAATATCTTTGGTGCTATTCCAAATTGATGCATGATGTCAAACTGTTCCTAGAGGTGAAACTTGCCATCTATGAGACCTGCATAGTTACATACGCACCCACCTACAGTTAAACACTTCAGATCATCACGGCTGGTAAAAAGAGAATTTAAACAGGTTGCATCTAAGGAAAAAACTAGTCACAAGGACTTTCATTTAGAGAGAGAAATCCAAACAATTCTACTGCTATCAAAGTAGCTTTATACCCAGAAAAAGGTATCAAAACAAAAATACCATGAAGATCAACCCATTACTGCCATGCTATAGTGCCAGTATGAAACATTCATTTACCTCTTCTTCTGACTGCCCTATCCATGTAAGAGCATTTACTGTAATCAGAATGGGATGGGACAAGTATGAGGAACTAATTCCTGGGGACTCTCTTTCGAGGACAGCCTGAGCAGAAAGACGTTTGACACCAGCTCTCCCCAGCTCCGTGACTTCAGGAGAACTCAGCACACAATCTACATCAGCTCAGCTTGAGGATTTTCTTGAAGTTCTACTGAGAATAAATATTCTTGAAAAGAATTTCTCCCCTGTCTATCTCCCTGCCCCTGCTAATGAAGAGTCCCAGTATATAAATTATTCCAGGGACAGATCAATAGCTGAAGAAAAGCTGATCTACTTGGGAACGAGGAAAAGAAACAAGTGCAAGCTATCGATACAATTATTTCTGCTCCCACTAAGGTAAATATTCATCTTTTTAAAGCAATCATTGTACTTATTATCTGCAAAGCTTCCTTCGTGATAACATGAGAAGATATTCTGATCAGTTACCAGCCACTTCACGGCAGTTTGATTTAAATTGACCTTTCTAGACTGCAAAGTAACCAGGATGAAAGAGCAAATACATAAAGGTCAAGAAATATTTCTTCATCTTAAGAAATCATTAAGTTCCATCCCCAGACACAATTCAAGAATGAAAAGAGATTGCCATTCTACATGCTCTCACTTACTCAAGTAATCACTCAGAAGGAGGTAACAGTAACTCTGAAGAACCATTGCCAAGAAGGGCACACAGAAGCATCACAGGTTTTTGTACGCTTCTTTAAAGAGAGCAACTTTCCTAGTGAACTCCTGAGTCAAGATTGCTAATCCACATTTGCTTAAAAAACGGGTAGATTAAGTAGAGGGGGGGGATTTCTATACCCATTCCAAGGACTGAGTTAAGGTTCTTAATCACTTTTTTTTTTTTTTTTTTTAAGACTATTATAGGGCAGGTTTACCTGTGTCAGAATGGCTCTGGAGAAGTTGAACAAACATTTTAAAGAAAATTTTCTGCAAAGGTTTATCTGTGAAAACACAGCAGTCACTATAATGGTGATCTTTCATTCAGTTTCACTGGGGATGATACAGGGTAGACCTTACATAAAAGTTCCTACTGGGAAAGGCAGCAAGAACAGATTCTTGAGGATTCCACCATAAAGGAAGACTTCAAAGTTCAGGCAGAGGTACCATTGACCACACAGTGGAGTAGAGCAAGGACTAGTTGGGTTCCTGGAGGGAGAGCTTCTAACATGCATTCAGCCCTGAAGACTTACTTTGAAAAGACTATAAACCTGAGAAACTTTAGAAACTGATGTCACCTAGTCTGTTCTTACACACTCCAAAGTTCAGTCCTGCTACAGATACTCTGAATCCAGAGATCCTGCTTTGATGATGTAAATCCATGGATGCTCAGTATTTGCTCTTCAACTGATGGACTGATGCAGTCTGCCAGCAGTGCTAAAGCAATTTACAGTCACAGAAATCTCGTCTTTTGCTTTATTTGAAGAATGACTGGTTTTCATCCTCCAGAGTCAACGTTTATTTTAGGTTTTCCTCTTGCACAAGGCCAGCAAGCACAAGACAGACACTTCTCATTTAACTCCTCTACTCACGTACAGTCTGTGAAGACTCTTCACTTTGGCTCACCTTTCATTTTGCAGCAAACTTACACATCCAGTACAGACTAATGTTATGCCAAGTATATATCATGGAGGAATCATCTGCCACACATGGTGCGTGGGTTACCAAACCCTTCAATTTTCCCTAAGCCATGCAACACGTACCCCATTCACCCTTCAAAAACGCACAACTCCATACCTTTTCCTTGTTTCATTGGATTGGGCTGTTTTAATAGTGCTCCCATCCTGAGTGATTTCTCTCTCCTGGGAGGAAGGAGCATCTCTGACTGGAAGTGGAAGTACGACAGTCTCCTGAGTTACTGGTAAAACTTCATCTTCGGCCCCCTGCTGACCTAGATGTTGCTTGGCATAGTCAAAGCCTTGTACTGGCTGCGAAAACGAGTGGGAGAAAAAAATTTCCAGAGTGTGTCATATGTTAAAAACAAAATTTCCACTTGAATATACAATTTTCCACTACTCCTTCACTTCTTTAATTAAATAAGCTAGAGGTAAAAATGTGTAGATTGCAATACAAATGTCCAACAACACAATTTTTCTGATAAGATCTCCATTACACATACTTAAAACATGATTAGTATTGAACTTGGCTAACCTTTCTTCCCCTGTCTGAACACCCTCAGAAATTCCTTTGACAGACAATGCGAAAGTGTATATAAAAAATAAAACAGAAAACATAAAAAGGAAGAAAAGCAAGGCCATACAGAAAGCAAAACTTCTTCCATAAAAAAAATCTCTTGTTTCCACAGGAGGCAGAAGTAATTTATTCCAGATGAAAAAAAAAGCAAAAAAAAAAAAAAAAAAAAACACAAATGAAAGTTTCATGGGCAAAATTCCACCTCCCCCACTCCCCAATTTATTCTTCTCAGAATAACAAAATCACATTCCCTTCGGCTTTCAAGTTGCCTACTGGGAAGGTTCTCATTGATTTTACTTGTTTCTCTTGGAAAGTGGCATTTGCAAGAGGCTTGCAGCCCTGGCAGCCAAGTGCTGTGTGCCCAGCCTGAAGACATAGCTGTGCTTTCCCTGCTGCCTCTGCAAGCAAAAAGCAGAAATGACAACGCATTCAGGGCAAAGCAGCCACTGAAAGGTGGATTTTCCCAACAGAGAAATTAAATAATTCAAGCAAAGCTTAACTTTCAAAAATGCACTCCTATCGGGAAGACAAGAACCACTCAGATATTTCAGGCCAATTCTGGGACAAATATGTAACATGTAAAATGTTCTTGCTGCATTTAACTGAGTTAATTTGTCCCATAAATGTGCATTCTCTCTGAAGTACAAAGACTATTTGCAGAATGCTAAAAAAAACATCAAAAAATAATTCCAAAGATAGGTAAGGCTGATTTTAACCCTCAAGCTTACTTTGGAGAACACATCAATATTACACATTTAAAACCAAGTGGTCCCTCTCAGGATCCTGTCCAGCTGCCACTGAGCATTTTCACTCCAGAAGAAAGTCAGGCTGATAAAAAAAATCTGCTGATTTTGCACAGAAAAAGAATGAGCTCTTAAAAAAAAAAAATTTCCCTTGTTGTCGCTTCCTGAATCTGGGCTATCTCTAAAAATACATATAAATTTCACAGGCAATTTCAGTCTGAGAATGAAAAGTTGTGTCCTTAAAAAAAAGTTTTTGTTTATGGGATGAATCTCCTGCTTTCTGTGTCGTCTGCTTAAACCAAGGCTCATGTGTTCAAACACTTCAGAATTAATCTGATAAACAGCTCCAGTGTATGAAGGAGATACTAATTGGGCTAACTCTGGTCTGGGGAGCAGACGTCTCCATGCACTGGCACGATAGATCTTGCAGTTTACCAGAGGAAAGCCAATTCACCCCATGGCAGTCATGATGCTACCATTCCTGACAGTCTTCTGCTTGCCCTCTTCTGAAGGCAAGGGACCATAAAAGCAGCCACTAGCTACCAAGGGAAGAAAAGAATGAGAAAAGTAGTAGCTGTGCAAAGACAATTAGGGTGAACTACTGCACCCCATCCCAGACAGTAATACTTTCAATCGATAAAATGCTTTTCAGCCTTAGTGGCTGTATTAACCATCAGTCAAAACTACCCCAGTTCTTCTGCAAAAATAGGCATGAAAACAGAAAGTATGATTAAATCAGGTATTTCTCCACACTGGTCAAAGAACAGAAGATACAACCTATAATTCATATCTTAAAAAAAAAAAAACAAAAAACAGAAGAGATAGAATACCAGTGTTTTTACAGGATCCTACAGAGTCCCAGCTTGTATGTGCCAAAGGAACAAAGTAAAGATTATTTAATCTAAATTCTACTCACCACCATGTCTGGTAACAAACTGCATTAAAGAAGAGCTGAAAAAGCCATCCTCAACAGCGGACATATTGTGTTAAATAAAATTTGATCTTGGAACCCTGCTCTGAGAAAGTCCACAGGAACAGATGGCTTTACCACCCCTGAAGGGAACTGGCAAGACTGAATCACGATCAGGCAGTGCTAAAGCACAGCAAGGATAGGTGTCAAATATGGCCACAGAACTCAGAGAGACCGACCGAGGGGGATTTGAATATCGATTTAGAAGACATGATTAGATGATTAAATTTCATTGCCTGGGAGAGGGTAAAACGAATGTGGAAAAATGTTACTGGGACATTTTTCCTTGTAATGATTATGAAAGACACTGATATTTAAATAAAGAACAAAAAAAGGGAACAAAGAGAAGAAAGGATAGTTATCCCCTCCTTCTGCATGTATACCCACAAACACAGGCAACGTCTCTGGTTTCTTTTTTCCATGCCCTTTACCAAATTGATAGTGGCTGTTTTCTCATGGCCTACACTATTTGTTTTTGCTGGTGGGTCGTAGAGTGCAGATCTTATCTCTGTTTACATTCAAGCTCATACTGTCATGCACTAAAAGAAAGGAATGATTTCAGATTACAGTCTTAAAAAAAAAAAAAAAAAAGCATGCTGTGAATTCAGAAGCAAGAGAGGCAAAAGCTAGCATCTGCCCAAAACCTCAAAGTAAATACAAGCATCTCAAAACAAAAGCAGCATTTCAAGAACATTACGACAAATTCAGTTTAGAATTTTACCTATTTTACTTTTTTTTTTTTTTAATTTTACAACTGGAAAGCTGTGAAAAATGAAAAACTGGGGAAGAAAAAGGTTACACTGCTACTTCCCTGCAACTTAGTCCTGATGTCACTGGCTCCTCAGCCAATTCAGAATGGCAACAACACAATTCATAAGATACTATAAAATACACGGTACAAGAAAGGTCATTTTTAAAACCCTACTTATTTAGCTGTCAGCCTGTGAGAACAACAAAGTCATTCCTAAATTACCAGGCAGAGGCAGCAATCCTGCTGTTACATCGTACCCCACTCTGCAGAAGGATATTTAAGCTGGGCGTTTCGTTTCCTCTCCGTGCTGTGCTCAGGCATCCTACCCGCTGACATGGGACGAGTGAGTCCCCAAGGGCTGTGGCAGGCAGCTCTGCTCAGTGAAGAACTGCAGCATCCCTCTGCTTGCAGCAGCAGGAGGACTGCAGTGATGAACAGGCTGCTCTGCTCTGCCAGCTCCCCTGGTACAAGGGAGCACCGCTCAAAAACAGCAGCTGAAACCCAAGGCTGTAAGCATCCCGTGACATTCTCCTCATATCCAAAAGGTGTCAAAAACATTCTAGTTAGAATAGAAGCATTCTATACCCCATTCTAGATATAGAAGCAAACCTCAGGGTTGCACAAACAATATATTAAAGCTGTTCCTTAAATTAAAAATCACTCTGCTGCAACCACACTTGCAGATCAGATGCAGCATTAATCAAGCAGTCTCAGGTACTTTCCTAAGCAATGAAATATCCCATAGAATCATTGAATGGTTTGGGTTGGAAAGGACCTTTAAGGTCATGTAGTTCCAACCTTCTGCTGTAGGCAAGGACCCTTCCTTGTAGACCCTTCCCTCTAGGTTGCTCACAGCCCCATCCAGCCTGGTCTTCAGTGCCTCCAGGTAGGGAGCATCCACATCCTCTCTCAGCAACCTGTTCCAGTGTCTCACCACCCTCACAGTAAAGAATTTATTCCTACATATTCATTTAAAATGTGATGTAGACAGCAGTTATAGTTCAGGCAGTTATTGTTATTCCTGAGCTCACTAATGCTGGAATAAACAATAAAAACAAAACCGTTCTTTTCCAAATGATCTTATAACATTATCTTCCTAAAATACATTCCCTAGTCCTATTTTAAGTGAAGATGCTGTAATTAGGAAAGACAACAGCAGTCAATTTCCATCCATTGCTGGATTTATACTTTATGGTCAATACAGTAGCGTATACTCCAGGCTAGATCTGGCTGAACCTTTATGAAGGAACCATCTTTGTGAAACTAAGCACACATCAATTTAGCTTTCATTTTTTCAAATTAGCTTTCTATTAAAAAACTAAATTATATTTATTTCCTTGATTGTCAAAATATACCAAAAACAAACTGAAGAAGCTTCTATACTAGCACTGTAGTTCGGATCAAGAGTGCACCTTTGAAGTAAATCTCCAAGTTACCTTCACTGACCATACTTTGATTCACATCATACCACAATTTCAGGGCTCACAAACCTTCTTTAAGATGAAAGAAAAATAGGAAATGCACTCTAGAAGCAGGTGTTGCACTGAAGTCGCAAACGTGAGCAAACGTGCAATAAAATCATTTGAAATGAGTGTTGGGTGGATGCTGGCAGCTCAGCACCAATTGTTTTGTTCTGCAGATCCAACTCCTTTTTGACCACACTGACTGCTGGTCAGTAAACACAGACCAAGGGAATAGGTTTCCACTCGATCACCTACATCATAGCCTTATTAAATCAGTTTTCCTGGAGAAAAGTCGAAATTGCAAACTCTTTCTTTTTGGAACGATAACTGTGGAATATTACAATAAGTTCTTTTTCTGTCGCAACTCCAACCAGTAATCTTCTTCTTAAACAGTAACTTCACTCAGCTGTAACGTATTCCATAATGATAGCAGTTCAAAACAATGTACAAATTAGTCTCCCTTGTACTCCAGCTGGGACCCGAGATTACATATAGGAATTAAGTTGTGCATAACATTCACAGGAGCCCCAACCAATCATCGTCCGTATTTTAGACATTTGAGCAGGACATCATGCAATACTGCAGCGATATTAGTTTTTCGTGTATGTTTGAATATTACTTGTTTCAGTTTTCCAGATCTAGTCTTAATGCTACTTTGGTAATATCAAATAAATAGATAGGCATATTGGGAATGAAACGAAAATGTATTTTATGCATCATTTTTGATACAGCTGACACCAGCTGTACCCATCTGCAGCTGTGCTAAGACGAAGAGAAAGGACCTCTTTACAAGGAGAGTGGTTAGGCCCTGGAACGGGCTGCCCAGGGAGGTTGTGGATGCCCCGTCCTTGGACGTGTTCAGGGCCAGGTTGGACGGGGTCCTGGGCAACCTGATCTGAATGTGTATGTTTGGTGGCCCTGCTAGGCAGGGGAGTTGGAACTACATGATCCTTGAGGTCCCTTCCAACCCGGGTGATTCTGTGTGACCTGTCATATGCATCACGCCTTCTTTCAGCTCTCCCCCCAATCTACAATTCTCAGCAAAGCAGAAATCACAGTAATCCTCCTGTCTGTTGCTTCAAGAAACCAAAGGATCCATCAATTACACCCAGCAGAGAAACAGAGTAAAAACTTCAGAAAGCAAGGAGACATCTTGGATTTGCAGATCAGTCACTCACTTTAGCTCTTTGAGGCAGGTTCATCATGGTATCCGGTTTGAAGTCATTCTTGTTTTTCCTGCACAGAACTGCTGTAATGATAATGATGATGACTGTAACCACCGCAATGGGAGCCAGCACTGCTGCAATGATCCACAGGTTGTTCGGTGGGTTCTTCACCACAGCTACAGAAAATTGAAAACCAACATTGGTAAGTCTCACTGTGTAAATTAAAGATGCAAATTGCTTCCAAAAGCGCCTTCAGCTGCCTCCACATACCGATCAGTATAAAAAGATTGCTAGTACCTATTTATGCCTTTATATTTCTTGAGCAACAATAAAAGAATCAGCAACACTGTTCAATTCGCATACATGGCAGCTGCCATCAGCTCCCAAGCCATGCTAGATGACATTAGATATCACTCAAATATTCATTCACAGAATAAATTATTATTTTATTTTTTTTTTAAAGAAGAGATTTAAGTAATACATCCTCTACTTTTCAAAACACAACCAACTTATAGAAAGATAGTATGTGCTGAATGTAATGCACAGAGCTCATGCCTGGTAGCACAGTCTTAACGGCTGTACCAGAGTAAATCAGCTCAGCTTTTTCAAAGACAACAAAGCTAAGCACGCTAACAGTCATTACTGACACCAGCAGGGCAATAACAAAATGCTTCTCTTGTGCTCTAGGAATATTTTGTCATAGTTAAGATCAAAATTAATCCATCATTTCTGAAGGAGAATTGGTAAGGACGGAAAAAGCTATTTGCAGCTATATTAATAGTGACACGAGGAAAAGGATACATTTCAGAAATGGAGTGGCATTTAAATGTTTTTAGATTCCATTTCACCAGAATAAAGTATTTTAGTATGCATGCTCCAACTCAGACTCACGTAAGAGAACCTCCTGTTACATAAACCTGTTACCATTACATTTCCTCCTTGAAAAACACCAGATAATCTCCTTACGATTCTGCATTTTCCTCCAGTGAAACATATTTTCTGGACTTCCACATGCTTTCTCTATTTATTTTCCCGTGCCATTGTTGGCTGGCATGGATAGGCAATTGTGAGCATATTGATGTAAAATAGCCTTTTCTACTTCCTTGGGGACTAATGCTTTCAAATGTCATTGAGCTTATTAGCTGTCAGAGGCACACAGCGTATTTCAGGATCAGACTGAATGCACACCATAATGCTCTGGCTCTGCAGCAGTTATGAAAGCCAGCTGAAACTGTGTTTGAAGGCTGAGCCCATTTTCCTTGCATTTCTGCACCCTCTTGCAAAGCCAATGCAGTTTGCTGGGCTGAGCAGGAATAGCACCATTATGTACCTGATAGTAACAGTATGCCTACAGACTGCAAAAAAACAAGCTGAACCCCAGGATTAAGTAACCTTTCAAGGTTCCCTTCTCAATGAGCTTGTGTAATTCTAAATTAATGAGTCTGAACACACATTTTGGGAATGAAAAGGCTGTGGGGAAGGAAGGAGAATCTGAATTTTATCAGAAAATAATAACGTTAAGCAGAGAGCTGTTCTGTGAGCAGAAAATTATTGAAGAAGTACAACTATGATTTGTGGAGGATGCAGAAGAAACAACAACATTGTGACAAATAGGACTAACATTTAGGAGTCCTGGTTTTAAACCCTGAATTCAGTTACTGTCTTCAACGTTACCATCAATAAGTCAATCTGTTGCTCATGCAAATTCAACAGGATTTTGGAGCAAGCTTTCATTATGCTATAAATCAGTTCCTCATCTATGAAACAGGAACTCCTCTTTTTTTTTTTTTGTTATTATTCATCTGTCTAGCCCAGACTATGAGCTCCTTGGGGTAGATATTTTCTCTTATTGCATTTTGGTACAGAACCTTTCAATCTGCTGTAACAGAAATTATGAGTAGAAACAAAACTCACATGAAATATTTTCTTTGGAACACAAAGGCTGACTGTGAGCACTGTGTCTAAAAAGAGACAAACTGATTCCTTAATAGAGTATGAAGATAGTTCTACCTCCTACATTTTAAGCATCCTGGTTTTGGAATCTCAGTTACCCAAGGTCATCATTTTCACTTCTGTACATTTTCTTTACAATACTGTACGCACATTTAACTTCTCTGAAAATCTATAGATGAATGAGGCTGCCTTATCAGATCACACAAGGACAAAGTTAAATGATCTGTGGCAGCTGCTACATAATTACCTAAATATCCATAAAAGTAACAAAACTCCACAGAGTCATGAAGCTGCTATACATTCTCTACAGCTGCTATAGCAAAAACAAAGCTGCTAAACATTCTCATTGCAAACAAAATAGTTTAGATTTTAAATACTAGGCTTTATGGAGGCAGGAATGGAAATCTGCAATTTTAGTCCCATAAAAGTCAATAACAGAGGATGATCAAATCCAGGATTAGGTACAGTATATAGTTCATTCCCTGGAAATGACACCATACTTCAGCCTTCTAACTCAATCATATGTTTATGGATGATACATCAATTACTTATTATAGTGGCTCCTTCTTTTCCTATCTCCATTACGTGTAATTATTTCAGTATCACTGCTCCTTCAGGCAGAGAGATGGCTGAAGTAATGGCCCCAGAAAGTCCCATTTTATCTGCTGTTTAGCCAGTTAGGAGATCGAGTACAGAAACCCACACTATAAGTTTAATTCCACCTGGACCAACACCTCAGACAATTGGAGAAATTAAATTAGTTGAAGGCATCAATTCATGCAGTAAATTGTTGTTAAAAAGAAAAAAAAAGATTAACAGAGAGAAACTTGAAAAGGACTCTTACGATCAGCTTGAACTTGAATCACATAACCCAGCGTCAGGGCCATCCGCTGGGAGTCAACAGTACTCAAAATTTTGGCAGCTGCGGTGCCCAACAAAGGTTTCCCATTGTACAAAGTATAGTATGTCAGTTCAGCTGGCTCCTTGGGTCCTGGAATTCTTTGGATTTTTACCATCTTTCAGAAAAATAAGAAAATGAGAGAAAGAAATAAACACCATTTGTATCGTATCACTGCAAAGCTAGCAAGAAGTAATCTGAAGGCAGTGCATGCAGACTGTCAGATCTAAGCATAAGCTGAAGGCAAATATTACAAGAGGAGCAGGGTATCCCCTCTATGCTACAGTCTATTAGGATTAGTGAGTACTGACTGCCTTCATGAAAATCCTTAAGCGTAATCCTAATGCAAAGAAAAGGCATACAGTAAAAAGGAGAGGTTCAAATGCTTGGATAGTACAGTCCTCCATAAAGAGGGAATTCTTAAAATCAGCCCCAGTGTTGAAAACCACACTTTGCTAACACATTGCAGCTAAAAATTTCCCTCACATTTTACTGCCACATTTACTATTTTTAATCCTGGGCTAACAATAAGAACTGTGCTTTCTCAGTTTTACTCAGGAAAACACCAGCAGAATTTTAAAATTGAACCTTTTCTCTTCCTGAGAGCAAAGGAAGTGCTAAACACCTCGAATGACAAGAGCAGAAAGGAATTTTGTGATGCTTCTCTATTACGTAATAAACTATTATACATCATATTTTCATGGAAAACGTTGCAGAAGTTCACACCTTCAGTCGGTAAAAACATACTCCTTTTTCAGACTGTCAGTGAAAAAATATACGGGGAAAAAAAAAAGTGGTCATTTGTTTTTATGTCTCTCAACAAGCAATTCTTGAAAAAACAACACATAGCTAAAGGAAAGAGCAAAATCTTGTCATGGATTTCACAAAAGAATTTCCCTTTGAATCCCTCACAACTAGCATCATTTGGCCAAACTAGCGAGAAAGCAAAATAAGAACTTTTCAAACAAAAGAATGGTAAATATTGCCACATAGTAGAAAGATGACTAATAAATTACTCAGGGCTCAGGTGTCTACTTGATAATGTGATCTGTGGACATATGGTTTGATGACTAACCTTGTAGAAGAACTGCCTCACACATTTTTTCAATAAAAAGGCCAATTTCTACTCTTACTGAGTTATCCCAATGAGAGAAGAACTAAGAAACACCTTTTTTCCCCACACTTGAGAACAAAAATCAGAACTACTCCTTATGTTGAGAAGGAGACTTTATGCTAAAATACATATATTGTATCAGTCTTCACAGCAGCCAAAAACAAAATATTTATTAGCACTGATTAGCTAGCTTTTAGGAGATGAGAGGCATGAAAACACGGCTGACCTCAGCAAAAGGAACCCATTATTAATACCCGCGTATTGCACGTGCTCCTTTGGTGCTCATGAAAAGAGGCAGGAGCTTTCCCCACACACTGAGGCAGCATGCATCCAGACAAAGCTCTTCATGAAGCACGTTTAGGTGCAACTGACGTTGGACTGATCACCTGCACAGTGTAGCTGCCCACAGTGGTGGCCCGTTTAAAGCGTCTTCCTTGCTGATGGGACATCATGAACAGCGGGGCCAAGCGCTGCTCCATTAATCTCGCAAAGCTCTGATTGTTCAGTCCCAGTAACGCAATATCAACCCCTTGTATAACTGTGGGAATGGAGAAAATCACACATCAGCACATCTTAGGTAGATTAAACAACACGCAGAGCTGTTTGACAGGGATGTACCGACTCGCTGAGAAGAAAAATAACTGGGCAGCGTTCACAAGAGTTCTGTCCTCTCAGGGATTCTCTGCTGACACACGATGCGCTTTGTCTCACTCGCTGCACTGTTCTAAGATAATGCCAACCTTGCTTCAGAAAATTAAACCCTTAAAAAAAAACCCAAGCCATTTGTTTACCAAAGTGGCTCAGAGAAACATCTAATCCATAATCTCCAACACAAAGGTCAGTGAAAAAGTTTGGGAGCTGTCTGCCTTTATGCTTACCAAAGGAACATCCAGATGCTCCTGTTGGGCAAACAGCAAGGCTTTTTCCACCCAGCAGTTTTGAGATCTGAAGCTGGAGCTCTACACGATTGTTTAAAAATATTTATATTTGGGAGCATTTATCATTGAATAGGCATTTCCTAAATGCTAATGAATATAAAATATAAAATAAAATAAAATGCACACTAAATACACAGAGTTCAAACAAGTGATACAGCATGCTCATTTAGTTCATAAATATGTATGATTTTTCAGTGTTATTTAAAAATTCATCTGGGATCATCATGAGGAGTTTTTTTTATTTTGAAAACATTATTTCCATTGTAGTACCAACAGTATTCCACCACTGTAAGTGCACAAAGGCAAAAAATGGATCATCAGCGGGGGTGCTGCACTTCAGAAGATGATCATCTCTGCATAAATTTATTTTTAACCTGAAAATTATGAGTAGAATTAACAGGCACCAAGTCACACTGGATTTTGGAAGGAGATTACAGAACTTACGCCATTTCATGTCAGGCACCTTTTCCTACACTCCCCTGAGTATTAAACAATTCCAGCTATAGGCACACTGATAAGCAGGCTGCTGGATCTACTGACTCAAAGGTATCTGGGAAAAAGGGTCTCTCTCTCTCTTGCTCACTCAGCACTTCTTAAGTCAAAATATATCTGAAGGGGAACTTGATACCAATGAAACAACCTTTTTTTTTTCCTATAAACATTATGTTATGCATTTAAAATTTCAGGTGGAAAAAATGCAAAAGGTCCCAGGCTGGGTCAGCAGATTCTAGCACGCTTCCCTTGGCTTAACAGATCACCTCTTTTTTCTTCCTGGATTTCGTCTGCAAGTCTCTTTTGATTTCAGATTTAAATCCTCCAAGTTGCAGGAAAAAAAAAAAACCACCGTGTTTTAATTCTGAAAACAGCTGCTCTTATAAACACTTAAACCAAAAACGGCGTAAATTCTGAAGCAAGTGCTGAACACAAGGAAGGTCTCTGCCCAAGATGACAAATCACAGTTGCGTCCAAGAGTAACTTTGGATACATTTGTCCAGTTGAATGCAACAGGAGTGTTCAGTGGGCAGCCACTTATATTTATACAAAATCACTGTGTATAAAAGACACTGTAGATGTATTACTACAACTGAGTACTAAAAACTATTCTCCCAAATACGTACAAGACAGAAGAAGATTAAAAAGTACCTGTGATCACCCAGTAGTCTCTAGTTGACTCTGAGACGTCGAGGTTGGGATATTCCAAAGCTTTAAAACAAAAGTCAAAATTATTTCATAATATTTCAACACCTCACACATTTTATGTCCCTGAACAGCACAGCCAGACATCGAAAACTAACACTGATCTTTTCCATAAAGATAGTTGCATGACTGCTCAACTGAGGAAGAAGATCTAGAGACATAAATTCCAGGATTACAGTTTCTCTTCCATCTGAAAAAGGACACAAAATGTGAACTGTAAAGGTGCTGCTGCACAACACAGAATATATCTTCTGCTGCCAGAATATTTGCTAGTGAACTTTCTGTGGGTAAAACCAAGGATTACCTATTACTGAAGATGATAAGTATATCTCCATGCTATATACATCTCTGCCACTTTCTCTACATGAGTAATCCTCCAGGAATGTAAGAGAACTTTCCATGGTCATTCTGTGATTTAATCCTTAAGACAAACCACAATTTAAATATAAAATATTATTAATTAAAACACACGAATGTCAGCTTCCATTAACCAGAATACAGTTCCACATGAACTACAAACACGATTAACAGAACTGTGAAAATGGCTTAGAGTGGGCTATAGGCACACTGAAACCACAACACACTGCAGTTTTTAAGGTATTACTACCATATGTGCTTACAGCTGTGAGAAACTGATGTCTGCTATTTTGGTGCTTTTTGCTATGTTTTGCATCTCAAAAGTGCACTAGGCTGTGAAGCTCAACACACTGCTAATTCTTTATGTGCACCAGCTTTATCTCAATAGATTTATGCAAGGTTGAAAGCATTATTACTGGGAGTTTATTTCAGAAGATATCTCTGCTTCCCACGTTGATACGCTGTCAATAAGTTACCTTGATTTTTAAACTCCACAGTGGTTTGAAATAGTAAACACTGTACAATATCTGATCATGAACAGTAACTGCTTCTAAGAAGAAATTTCATTGTATGAAGCTGCCCATTTCCACGACAGACCGCAAGGGCTCTGGAAGAGCTGCAGAGTCCAGGTGGAAACAGTGTTCTCTGAACGTGACAGCATTTGTCTGAATAAACTGAACATTTGTCTGATAAACTGAAACCACTGCACCACCACACGAATAAGCATAACACACTTGTCAGTGCAAACATTTTCACAACACGCGCCATCAGTCTGAAGCCATAAATTCTATGCACACATTAAGAGCACGCATTTGCTGTATCCCTCCTGTGCAGGGAATAAAACCAAGAACTCCAGAATGAAATATAAGCCATTACTTGTTAAAGGAGCACTTGCTAAAGACTCAGTTGGGTCAGTTCATCACATCCGAGGACTGGCAGAGACGTGACAAATGTCTTCTACAGCTGCTGACTATCAAGCACGTGCCTGCACTGCTTTTTGCAAGAAGCACCAAGTAGTGGAAAGTCTGATTTAAATTGAAACTACATCTGTTGGTACAGCGGAACTCATCACTGGGCGCTTTCACCTAGCCAGCTGGTTGCAAATATCTGATGTGGATAAGTAATGTCTTAGGATTAACGTACGTTCCTTTTTCAAACATTTGCATGACCAGTTAGCTGCAATTCCCACCCTGTTCGCTCTGTAGAGGGATCACATACACCACATACTTGTTCGTTGGGCAAGTACCTGATGAAAAGCTGCATGAGATGATTACGGTTGGGCTCTTTGTTAAGATGATATACTTGCCAAAAAGCTAAATTGCACCTTTCCCCAGTGCTTGTTTTTCAGTAATCTGGTTCTAGTTCTTCCCAGAATCATAAAATAAACAAGGACCTTATTAATTTTATTTGAAGCTACCAATCTATTCAGTTGAGTATTTTGATGCTAAATACATGTTTGGCTAGTGCTTGCAAAATGAAAAATTACAAACTACTTGGGCAAAGTTACAGCATTATCAATGACTTTGATGGCTACCAGAAGCCTAACCAGAACTTTAGGGGTATTTGAGCACAGCAGATCAGATTTATGAAGTATCGCATGAAGGCACTTTACCTAATGCTGAGATCAGCTGAAACCAGCTGAAACATGCCCTTACTTAACCAAGCACCACTGCCATGCACAAATGTACCTATTAGGTTTATTTACTCTCACTTCCAGTGAGCACCAATATCTTCCAGTACATGGATAACCTGTCACTACAGCAAGCTTAATTACACAGACTGTATTTACAAAACAGATTAAACAAATCCATATTATGAGATGTTCCATCTCTTTATTCTTTCTGGAGAAATTAGCAAAGTCAGAGATCATATATACCATGCAGGCTGTATGATACAACTTCATCTAACTCTGTACCTCTGATTCTTCACACTGGGGAAATGCAAGTGAATTTTTGACACAACATCATAAACTGAGTAAGAAGCTCAGCAGATACCCAACGACTTTCAGAAAAGAGGTATGTTGGTAGAGCTCACCCACTAAACAAATGTGGTGGCATGCTACTGAGTCATGCACCCGGACGAAGCACTGAGGGCTCAGTCTTCCACACAGCAAAGGGCTATGCTGAGGATAAACTTTACATGTTGGACTGTGTTACTCTGAAATAGCAAACTGAGGAGATTTTTATTTTATATGCTGTTTAACTTTGCCTGGAACTCAGCATAGGCTTTTTTTTTTCTTCTACACACAACTCAAGTAGATACTGATTCCCCCCCTTCCAAAAAAAAAAAAAAACAAAAAAAAAACCCAGAACTTTTAAGTTCCCACCCACTTCATTCTTTTTCTTAAGTTTAAAACAACAAAGTTATCATCAAAATAACGTATGATCTGCAATCATCAAGCTGAAGGTATTTTGCAATAGGAAACTCGGTAGTGGTTGATCCTACAGGTGTGTTCTGAGAAGCACATACTTACACTCTGCAATGGTGAGAGGTGGGTAGGTTAGATAGAAACCCACCAGCTCAGCTGACAGCTGATTAAGAAGGTTGCTGGAAATCGTGCCATTTAAAGTTGTGCTTCGATTGTTGACTACATAAAACAGAGTGACAGCTTGAGAGACTTTGGAGGTATTCAAAATCTGAAAAAGAGGTGAAGAAATAATGAGTAGTCTCGTTCCAGTTCAGTAAAAAATAATAAAAAAAATACAGCAAAGAATCACTGGAGCAGGCAGAAAGGGTGCCTGAATATTCAGTAAAAATATAAAGCTGGAAAAATACCTTATCCTTCATCTCTATTTGAATTTCAAAACAGCAGTCTTTCTATAAATCTTGTATTTATAAGTTTACTTCTAATAAACAAAACTATCTCATTTCAGAGGAAGGCATAAACTTACTGCCACACTGACTGACAAAGACATTAAGTTGAAATATATTCTATTGAAATACAAGTACATGCATAACAAATAATAACCCAGAAACTTCAGCAACAAGCACTGGCAAAGCGGGCAATGCTGTACCTGAACTGTTAGGTTGTTGCTGGTGTTCCAGACCTTTCTTTCGGCATCTTGAAATGCTCTCTGTAACCTTTGCTCCATCGTCTGAACAAATCTGCATGACTGTATATTATCTGTTTGACTTACAAACTGCAGCTCTGGAAAAGTAACAGTGCATTTCTGTGAAGACCAAATATGCTTAGTTGCATAGCCTCTGTGATGCCCAACTGCGGCATGGTCAGCATACAAGTTAAGCAGGTGAATAGTGCCACATAAGATCATTTTATATCATTTAAGCATGGTACTGATGCATAAAATGGTAAGACCAGCACACTGCATGTTTACTCAAAGCTGGGCAGTAAGAGAAAGCTGTACCGAAACAGAAGTTACACTCTAAAATCTTGCAAGCCATTGGCTTTTACAAGATGCAATAAGTTCTAATATCGATTCTCATTCTGTTTGTGCTAGGAATACATATTTAATGTATGTGTACATAAATACATAAGAACATATAAGAAGTCTCTTAATAATTGAAATTGCTGTTTTACAGAGCTGAGGCAGTGATTTTGGAAGGCAGCACTCCTTCTAAACTAACAGCAGTCCTGCTGGCACTGGAGGCATTGTCACCATGTAGGTGAAATCAAAGCACAGGCTGTCTTGCTGTTTCTTGTCGTGGTGTAGCACTGGAGACTGGGGAGGAAGCAAGACAGCACAGGGACAGACAAACATCACCCCTCTGCACGGGACCTCTAACAAAACACACGACTGTCAACCTAAGCTGGCCATCACTCACCTGTCTTCAGCTGGAAGTGGTACGCAGGAAGTGGCTTCCATGGCATTGCCAGGGCCACAATGGACTGAAGACTCAGAACGTGTTGCTTTAAGTCTGCTGTGGCATTGCTGATACCATAGGCAATTAGTCTTTCAATTACAGCAGCTGGTATAAAAACCAGTCTCCCTCGTGTAACATAGTAACCAACTGTGATGTTACTTGATTGCTCCAGGATTTCCACCTAAAGAACACAGGGAAACAATTATTATTATTATTTTTTAGAAGTTTAAATTTTGATTGCAAATACAACCACTATTTGATGAGACATCTCATTCTGAGTATGGCTCACTTGCAGGGCTCTTGTCTGTACAGGACCAGCACCACATCTGCCATGGGATTCACAGAACTGCTCAGGAAGCTTTAGTTCCAGCCCATGCAACACGTCTTCTCCTTTGAAGGAGTATTGCATTGCCATGACAACTCACACATCTCCAATATAGGTCAAGGCTTCATTCACATATAGGAAAAAGGATATGCTCTCCATTTTGAGCAAAACTACTTCTTCCCCCTTCCTTGACAAGCATACCTCATATAACAGCTTTAGGCTCAGCACAAGGTGCCTAACAGGAGTGGGAATGTGTGTTCTACAGAAAGGTACCCCAGCAACCAGCAACCTGCTCTAATACTCAGCTGCAGAATTTCATGCAGTTTAGCTGGAAAGCAATGAACATGCCTCCCTCGTTTATTTGTTCTCTCCTTGCTCAGGACTTTCAACTCTGTGGAATTGAACTTGTCAGACACTCAGTTTTCAGTGGGAATGGACTGACAGCAATGACATCCCATTTACTAGCTCTGCTTTTGCAATTGATCAAGGCTGAGAACAGCAGCACTTGCCTGACTGCTAACCAGAATCATTCCTAAACTGCTAGAAAGAAACTCCTGTTAGTTGCAGTTTTCCAGAAGACACCTAAAAGAAAATTGCATTTCTCTTCAATTTTTTCAAATAAAATGACAAAGATTTTTGAACGGTCCTTATGTTTTTAGATCCCAGAGCAGGAGTCATCTATGCCTGCTTTCCATAAGAAAAGCTCAATGGTCCTCTTTAAGAGACATTCTGCATTCAGAGCCACCATTTAAACATAGAGCTGCAGCCAGGCAGAACTTTTGATCAGTGATTTGAATTTGCATCAAAAAAGGCAATGCCACGGTTAAGAAAACATTGCGCTCTGAGATCGACACCAAGTACACACAACTGTCCACATGTCAGAACTAATCTGGAGATACTGATGTATTAGGTACGAGTGAGAAAGCAGCCAGGAAGGGAGAACAGATTCCCATCAACCAACACTGGAATACCTGACGCTACCTAGCCTGCTAACTTCCTTTTACTGTCTACCACTCTACAAAGATACCTGCTATTTGTCTTTGACGCAGCCAAATCACCCAGATGCATAAAGCTTACAGGCAACACAAATTTGTTTTGTGTTCTGTTTGTAATCTGAATCTGTTTGTAATCACATATTAGAAATGAGATGGAATAAGATATAGGTGCCGACAGGACAAAAAACGTCACACGATGCTACTCAGCAAAAAGAAGGCATCTAAATGGGAATAAATATGCCCACACCTGAAGCTTATAGTAAGGCTGCAGCCACTAACACAAGAGCCACTTAGTTACAAATGTTTATCGTTTCTCTTCACACAGCCAAGTCAGGCCCGCTTACCTGAGTGCTGACATTTTGGTTGAAAGCTTGTCTCAGCGCCTGGTTAAGCCCTTTTGTCACACTCTCCTTGAAGGATTTGCTGATCATCATCCTCCTCGTGTTCAGAAACAGAACTGCAAAATGGCAAAAACTCCATGTTAGTTTGAGGCATTAATATACTACTGCCTCCTTTTTCAGTTCTTTCGTGTTGGGATAGGGTGGTGGAGATTGCAAAAGAAGGAACCTATGATTTACAGCAGCTCCAAGACTGGAGCTTAGTCCAGAACAGCTGGGGCTCAGCAGTGCTCCCAAGGTCACCACTGTTCCTGTGACAAAAACCCACTGCTCCAGAGCACAGTCCAACCCTTGTGATTCCTTTAGCAACAAGACTTTGCACTGCTGCCTTTGAGTGAGCTATGATGATGTCTGACTGCCTGCAGCCTTCCCAGAGGACAGGGCTGCTGCTACACAGGGAGGCTCCCGTAAAGGATTACCACTTCATTCCTTCACAACCAGAGCTAAACAAAAAACAAGTTACTTCACTGTTACTACTGCCTGCAATTTACCAACTGTCTGTACACTTTGTTTACTTACATTTTCAGTAGCTTTTTCTCTTATAATTTGCAGAGTTCTATAGCTGCACTGACATTTCCAGTCATATTGTATACATGCTACTTCTCATACTACTTCTATGTTTAGAAATAATTATTCCATTCATTATGCTAGAGGTATAAATATTTAGCAGCTACTAAATCCAGTTTTTTCATTGTCCCCCAGTATCACCTAGGATTATATACACACATAAATCCTTTTACAATTCTTTGGTTGCATCTTCCAGATACGCACATTTGCTGGTGCTGCCCTGTGCTACCATAAGGAGTTCATAGGAAGCCTGGGCATGGGTTCTCTCCAAACCTATTTATTATAGGGCTGTTAAAATTATGGAATAGCAGTCTGTAAAAGATTGCTCTTAGAGCTATAAGATGGTGTTCTGTTCATGCAGTGAGCTCAAAATCCTCTTATTTTGAATTGTACAACTTTAAATACTAGAAGTTATTTTCAAGTGAATCTTTAATGATAGAATTAGGTATTCGTATGAATACTTAATCCAGTTTTTATAGGCAAAGAGGACAAAAGACTGAGGTTACTATAGTGTCTGTTTCAGTAACACAGACCCCTTTGCCAAGGAGAAACCAAACCATCACAACGTGGCTGTGCCTCCACCTACATGGCTCTGCTAGACCACTGCACTGACTGCTGAACCTCAGCACACCCAGCCTTGCTTCATTTAAAACATCCTTTGTAAAATCTGAGCGACAAAGTCAGTACCATTCCTAACCACCACATCCATTATCTGTCGGTTTCACTAATGCAGTAGCCCAGTCCCTCAGCTAATCACCACTCCCCCACATTCTTTGACACTTGAGTACATTTTGCCTTCACCACCCGGTGGCCCTCGCAAACAACAGAGAGCCTTTCAGCAAATTCAGCAGCCCCACATACCCGTTTTAACCATTAGGTTCCAGGAGAGCCGGCAATCCAGTGGAGGAGCTGCAGTCATGTTAGCAAAAGCTGATGCTGCTGTTGTTTCTGAAGGAGCAGAAGTGTTTTCCACTCGAGTAGGGGGAAGCCTAGTTGCTTTCGCTGATGCTGTAATAGATGTCAAAGCTGCTGTAATTGTCAGTGGATATGGGGTTGATGTTTTGGTGATTTCTGAGCTTGGGAATTTCTGGCTGTCAGTGACTGTTGTTTTTATCTGCCTTGGTATGTGTGCTGTGGGTGCAGGCGTGGAAGCCACGACACTGCTGCTTTTAGGAGTTATAAACATAGCTGTCATGTCCACAGGTGAGGCAGCTGTGTTTCTTGTTGCAAAAGGAAGATCTGTATGTGCTCCTACTGAACTAAGAATTGAGGTTAATTTTGTGGCAGTGTTATTTTTTGTTAGTGTCAGTACTGGAGTGTTTAAAGCCATCACAGATGGCAAAGGTGTGTTTTCAGTGCCTAGCGACAAGAAGGAAGAAGCTGGCACTGGTGAAGCTGGAGATGATTTTCTTGTTAGTGGTTTTGCTTCTGAAGTTCCTACCGTAGGTATTGCACCAGAAGACACTCCAGATAACACTGTAATGACAGAACGGGTAAAGTTGGTTGTTGAAAAAAAAGCAGAAGTTAGTTGTGTTGGTAATGGATGGACAGAAGTTATGATGACTGACTGCAGAGCACTGATAGAAGGGGTTTGCAAAGGCACACCCGTAGTGGTGTTATTAGATATACTAGTGGAATCTAGACTCTGCCTCATAGCACTTGTGCCCAACTCCTCCACACTTAATATAGCTGGATTTTTATCAGCCACGACCAAATAACCAGAGGACTCTAACCGGCTATCAATAAACTCCAGATTTCCAGAACCAATATCTTCTTCTGTAACAGAACTATGTGAGAGAGCTGAGCTAAAAGGCTTGGTTACAGGAACAGGAGGCTTGGTTGGCAGCGTGCTGCGGGCAGCACCAATTTCATAGCTGGCTGAAAGAGATGAGTTGTCAGGGAGCTGAAAAGCCAACGCTGCTGTTGTGTTAAAGGTTTTTGCCAGTAAAGTCATCTTTCCAGCAGCAGTTGTTTGAGATTCTAGAAAGCTGGGAAAAACACCTGTATCATTAACATGAGGCACGTGCAAATGGAGCAGTGCTTCATACTGTGCACTGGTATCAATGTCCCCAGTGGTGAAGAAATTAATCATGTTTTCAGCTGTGTTTCCATTCTTCTTCTGCAAGGTGGCAGGAATTATGGTAGTAAGGGATGGATGCAGGACAGGAGATGTTTTCAGGGCAAACACATCTATAACAAGTTCTGGAAAACTGTCTAGCTTTGCTCCAGTGACAGGTAAGTGCAAAGCATTGTGACCAGACACTGTGTGTGTGTACTTTGTTGAAGGGGCAAAGAAAAGCAGCTGATTATTTGTTCTCATTTTCTTTTGCAGACCTGAAGCTACTGAGTACAGCGAATGATACTCAGTTGCTGACGTAGAAGTACTCAGAGGAACTTCTCTTACTGCCGCTTTTACTGAATTTTTTACCAGAGAAATGCTAGTGTCAGCTGAGGACAAAGACACTGCGTTAGTCCACACAGAAGGTGAAACTGCGAGTTTGGGAGAGCTGACTGGAGCTATATTGCTTTCAGAGGCTGCACTTGAAATCCCAGAGAAACCTGAGCCGTGGCTGTCACTCACTGTTGTCATGGAAACAAAGGATGGCAGGGTAGTCCGTGCTGGAGGCACAGAGACTAATTGCTCTGCATCAACGGAACGTGAAGTCCAACCCGAGGTAAAATGAAGCTGAGTCAAGGTTCTTGGTGGTGAATAGTCTCCATGTGGGGTTATAACAGTGGGTACTCCCATACTTCTGTCTTCATCTGCAGTTCTGTCTGCATCAACAGATGGAAGATGCACAGTTCCAGAGATACCTGTAGTAGCAGATGTACTCGTGACAGCAAGCTCAGGATTTGAAAGTCCTGTAATAGCAGCAAGACCAGGAGCAGCCATTCCCGTTTCCAAAGCAGTTCCTGATAGCTTTAACTCTCCGGAGAATTTGCTGACATGGATATCGGGAGAAACTTTGGAAAGCTGAGAGCCATAAGGCAGAACAAAATCAGGGTTAGAGTCTGTGGATATTTTTGCTGTCACCCATCTTGTCAAAAACTGTTGAGTTGTTCTCACCACAGAAGAGCCATCAGAATATGGGACGGGTTGTGACGAAGCAGTTGGCAACAGCATGCCATTTGCTTCATGAGCTCCATTAGTGAGGTCTTCTGTCAAAGCCCAGTTCAGAAATACCACTGAGTGCGGCGAGAAAGCGGCGGAAGGGATTTGCAAAATACCCTTGTTGGCTGTTGCTGTGCTTAGACTGTTTGCGTGTGCTATCTTAGCAGAGGTAAGCTCATTTGTCTCAGTTAGCAAAGGAGGCATTGTGCTTGCTGAAGAGGAGTGTGTTGCATTTCTAAAAAGAAAATCTGTTTCACTTCTAAATGCTGGTACTGGCAGCACTGCATTGTGAGCGTGCTTTGCATCTGGAATAAATGATTTTGGCAACAAAAGGGAAGGCATGCTCTCTGTTGAGCTGGAGACCTCAGCCAGGCTCTGGGAAGCTGATGACATGAAAGGTGCAGTGGTAGAGCCTGTAGTGCAATTACTAAGTGCTGTGGAAGACTGATGATGACTCATCTGAGGCATTTTATGTGGAGTACCCACAGGATGGAAGAATAACGCTGGAACCTCTGCTTTATTCTGTAAAACTGGTGGAGACAGAGGAGTAACATCATCATTTCTGCCAATCAGAGGCTTAAGTGACTGTCTGTTGGGTTTCACTCCAGTAGAAGCTACATTATGCATACTTTCATTCAGAAACCATAACATGCTTCTGGAAGTTACTGGCATAGAAAACTGATGTAATATTTTTGACACAGGAGTATTAGAGTATTCTGATAAAAAAGAGGTCCTTCCTGAAGGAAACTCTTTTCCCACTATATTGGTGGGATGCACTGTTGATCCAGAGAGATTGAAAGACATGGTGCCCATCAAAAACTCAGGACCCTTTCTTTGATTCACCATGCTGGAACTTACATCACTGACCACACTTAAAGGACTATTTCTGCTTTCACTAACCTGAGAGTTGGTCGAATCTGTGCTGAAGGAACTTTCAGGCTCTGCAGACAGAGGAACTCTGAAGGCCAGTACAGCTGATTTAGAAAAATTAATGGTATGAGGTGACTGTTTTGCCAATGAAGAAAATAATGGAGATGGAACAGCAGCAAGCATGTCTGGTCCTGATGTGCTTTCTTTTGAAATGGAAGGTGTTTCTAATGGTGTTAGCTGAAATGGCACAGCTGTGCTCAAATGTGTCACTGATGGTATAGTGGATAATGTGGCAAACATACCGAGTTGAGGCAAACCTGATTCCACAGCTGTTTCATCTGGATCTTGAGATGACAACCTCAGGGGTGACTCAGCAGAAACTTCAGCAGGTTCTTGGGATGCACTACTTCCACTGCCTTGATAAAGGGTGGGAGACAGGTTTGTTTGATCCAAAGTTCTTGTATGTGTGCCAGTCAGTGTTGTTTTTATCATCTGAAGCAAATTTGCATTCTCCAAAGTCTGTCCCATAGAAATATCAGCGACAGAGGAAGTCTTAGTTTCTGTGGAAGGCCATGTTGGTGATAGTATAGTTCTCCAGTTAGGAAAAGATTCTGTAGAAGGAGCAATGTTGACAAGCTGTTGCCTGATACCTGTAAAATAATGAATAAAATGGATATGCAGTTCTGCAAAAGGAAAAGTTGTTGTTATCTGGTTGCAAGAAATAACAGTACAAAATGCATTATGCTTGCTAAGTGCACTGATTCTTGTCTTTAGAGAACAAACATCTGAAGAATGATAAAAAAAGTAAAAGGTTCAAAGTGACAGACTATAAACCCACCGAGTTGTTTCATCTGGCAGAAGATTAAGACAATCTTTCCATAGTACTAGAATAGCACTATTTCTAAATACTGCTTTTAACAGTATTTTAGTTCAATAAACTAAAAGAAACCTCCTTAAGTCTGGGATATTTTTTGAGCTTAATATTAGCCACCCTGTGTCAAAACATTATGTGAGAAGATGGGTTTAGAAGCACAGTAGAAAGGGAATGGATTTTGACAATCAAGCTTCACTGACTTAGCATGTCATCTAACATGGGAATAGAGTCAGTATTGGCTGGATTCCTGTAGGATGCATCTGGAGGTGCTCATCTTGCCAGTTCTAATAATGCATGTAATTATAGATGCAAAAGGAAGAAAATAGAACACAGATGAGCACGAGGAAAGGGGGGTAAGATCCAGAACAACATTAGGAAATTAAGTTTTTTTTAAAAATATGTGCAGATGTACAACACATCATTTCAAACATCAATTTGTTCTATATTTGATGCCATAATATTCCTAGTCTTTGTTTTCTCAAAATGATAACAGTTCTTCTAAAATTGTAGCTTAGGAAATCTCACAGTCTTACTAATTTAAAGATTAAGATTCAATCAAGTAAAATCTCAGTACTACTTCTCCCCTTCTCCCCCAGCCAAGATAATCTATCAAAACTCAGTGCTGGCACTTTCCACCAAGCTATGTCCACTCCAACAGTGGAACAGATGCACAATGCAAAGCCAGTTCCCTGGCCTGCAGCTGCAGCACATGGACACAGGGTGCCAACCTCCTCCATACCTATATGGATAACTCCAGCACAATGACATGGAAGACTAAAGTGGGACAGACCTTGAAACACGAGGTTATGAAACAGGCTTGACTTCAGTTCCAGCAACCAACGAACCCAGGCATCAAAGCCAACAGAATCAGAGGGCATAGCCCTGTACAAATTGGAGCCAACAGCAGAGCACCATACAGGAGGAAAACAGGTCACTGTCATCTAGTCAAAGGTGAGTTTCTTCCTTGTGCTACACCATCCGTTATCTGCATGAGCAAGTGGATAAAATGGATTCATACTGACATTTGAAATTAAAAACTAAATCATGTGCTTTTCAAAAAATCAAGCTCCAGGCAAGCTGCAGTTTGAATCTCTGTGAAGTCACCTCAGCCAATTTAGTCAGCATTACCAGATCTGTTACATACCAAACGGTCTTGTTTCACCTCTGAAACTGAAAGGCCGCACTGAAATCAAATGCAAAGCCTTCACAGAGGATTGTCTACCACTTATTTACTACAGGGCAGTTAAATGAGTCAATGCTTTTGTACTTTCTGAAACAGCAAAGTCTGTCAGCATCAACCCCAACAGCGCCCGCATTATTCCTCACACTTTGGTTTAATGAGAATGATTATGAGCAGAGAGATGCTATAAACATGAAAAAGCGTTAAACTGATGTTATCATGCTTTGACAAGGAAGAAAGGAAAGCTTGAATAGCAAAGAAAATAAAGCTCCAAATAGAAATGCCCTGCAACCACCATTTGATTCTAGTCCTTCCGTTCTTGTTTCTTCCATCCCCATACCACCTGGCAGTTTTTCTGTTCATGTCCAGAAATGAACTAAAGATTTTGACTAACTGGATGTTTAAAAAAATACTTAACATTCTGCAGTGAAATAAAATGCTGGCTTCTTCCTCCTACAAACTTCACTTGATTCTGCCTTCATAGAAAATTACAATCAATATTTTATCCAAACTATCACACATTCACTATCTTGGTCATGATCAACAGAACATTCAGAAGCTAAAATTATCTTCTCATTACACAGTTTAATCTGATATATATACACGTATCTTCAGAATCAGAGGGTGATATCAACAACAAACTCTCAGCAAATACTGCAAAAACCAAGACTGTCATGGAGAAAAGGTGGGGAAGGGAGGGTATTGCCCTTTCGTATCTACCAACAACTGAAAACACTTCATGAGGGGAAAACAAACCAATAGGAAAGCTGCAATGGTAACACGATTTCATGTGCTCTGTGCACTGAGCCATTGCATACACAATTCTAGCAGCTGCTTCTCACATCTCAGGATTAGCTCTGTCTCTTTCATTTCAGGCTACTAACCACTGCCTCCAACAAAGCCTATTTGGCAATAACCTTATTACAGTTATCATTGATTAGTGATATTTCCATTTACAACAATGAGAAGCTCCTATAACATGCCACAGCAGGAAGTTAAACACTGATCCAGCTTAGAGACCATCACAGCAGTAGGACCTCTTAGCCCCTTAGGACATACCTAAAAGAATAACAGGGGCCAGAAAAAGCACAGAGATGGAAAAAAGATCAACATTCCCCCTTTAGCCCCCCTTTCCTAAAATAACAGGGACAGCAGTGAGGAAGGTCATTAACATAGGCACCATGTGCCTTCCAAAAGTGAAGATGATGCATGCATCAAACTAATGTGTGACAGTAAAAACAGGCAATGAAGTCACACTCCTTTGGATAACTCCATTGTCACCCAATTTCTGCTCACGAGGCACCTTGCTGCACACTGTTCTCCATATAGGAAAACAAAAAAACAAAAACAAAACAACCCAACACTTTAGACTTCACAGTAAACAACAGAAATCTTCAGACACAAACTATTCAGTCATCTCAGCTGCCTTTTACCTACAGACTACATTGAAAATGCATTTCTGCCCTCCCTGCTCGCACAGCCCAAGCACAAGCTGGTTGGTGCTTGGAAGGGCAGAGCCCAGCCTGCAAATACTTCACGGCTGTCATCATTTTGCCTCAGGAGCTGACAGACGGACACGACTTGAACCAAGTGCCAGCCTTGCCAAGGGGCAAAACGCATCTCTGCTGTGACAGCCAGCTCTGCTGCCATCCTTCAGCCCTGTCCAGCAGCAGGGACAGGGGCAGACAGTAGGATGAGACAATAAATTGTCTGTACTTAAACTGCACCTTCCTGTAGGCGAGGAAACAATTCTGCCACCCGCCAGACTACTTCTCTATATATTCATAAATACACATTTATGCAACCTTCTGGAAAGAAAAGGCATTTATTCAGGGAAGTTTAAGAGACACCACTAACATCAGCATAATAAACGATTTCATGAACAAGGTAGCAAATCTGATCTGCTCCAAGCCCTTGGGAGAGAAACAGCCGAGTGCAGGAAAAACAGACTGTATTCCACTGGTAGCTCCAAGTCACCAGTGGTACTGCTCTCATTAGAAGCAGTGAAGAGGCACAACTATGCAAGTATGCCTTTAACAAAGCTTGGGCAGCTTTACCCTGCCTCAGAATTCAAATACAAGAGAAAACCAAACATACAAAAGGAACCCCTGCTAAAAGCCCTCTACTTCATTCTTTTAACAAAGCAAAACAAAACAAAAAAATCACCTCCAGATCTTTTTCAAAGATCGACAGTGCTTTCAAATGGTTGAACTGTACACTAAATTACATAATATGATACACTTTGACAGGCTGGTTGGGTAATTATGAATGCTCCATTAAGCCAAAAAGCTTTCAATCACCAAACCAGACACACCTCTAAGGGAATCTTCTTTTGCATTTCAGAAGTGAAGCTGTAACCAGTGCTTAGAGCAGAGCCCTCTGGACCACATGCAGCAGTGTGCAACCTGAGTGCATGATGCCAGGTCCTCACGACACAAAAACAGCTCATCTTCAACTGATTTCTTCCATTTCAGAGCTCAGGAGTTGCAGTAACTTCTTAACTCAGAGCAGCTAATGCTCTCTAAGGAAAGAGCCTTTAAGATGCTGCAAATACAGGATCAATACAAGCAAAGAGGTATCCACAATGTCTTCTGCTCCTCTCAAGCTGCTCACACTGCCCGTGGCCTTTGACAGTAATGAAGGATGAGGAAGTGCAGGGCAGGAAATAAATGGCCCTACTGCCACCATAGTGATCTTTGGACTAAGTAATACTTCCACTCACTCTCAGCAAAGCGTAAAGATCATCCAGCTTTTGAAGGAGGGTAAATCACACCTTCTTCCTCACAAAAAAAAAAAAAAAAAAAGCAGCAGAATATTCACAGTGGAGCAAACAACCAAGCAGTCAAGCTTCAAAGTCTACTCTTTGCTCAAAGTTTATACTAAATAACCAGTGTTCAGCCATACTGCTATTCAGTGCAATTTCTGAATCCAAGAAAGCAAAAATCAATTACTTGGCCCCAGAAGACACGGGGGTTAAATCAGAACCTCTACCACAAATGATCTAATAGCCAAACACTGAGCCAAACTGCGACACGTGCTTCTTTGGAGAAAAATCCCCTTTACATGAATGAGTGAGGCTACAAATACAAGCTCATGAGAAGAAATAGCCCACATAAACTGTACGTTTCTTTCCTTATATTAGAAAAAAAAATCTTTTCCTGAGCTGGCTTGAAAGCAAGGAACAGTTCAGACAGCTGCTTTCTAAGGCTTTGGATTTCCCACCCATCCCCACCTTCTCCTCTTAAAGGACAGACAGCCCTATATATATCCTTTCCATCTGTTCCTCCTCCTCAGACTTTTCAGAAATTATCAAGTTATACACAATCCTTTACAACAAAAAGTCATATTTAATTTCTATTCAATATTGTCTTTCAATTCCTATCCTTTTACAAATGCAGCAAGGGCTTCTCTTATCCATAAGAGGCAAATTTTTTCTGGGAAGGAAACTTCCAGACTGCAGGAAGCTGTCAGAAAGCTTCCCATGGTCACACTGGGCAGACCCTGAGCTGTTCTGACCAACACATGAACCAGTTGCTTTGCTGTGACCCACAGCAGCTGTTCAATGCAGAATACAATATACGTTACCATTAAAAATT